AAGGAGATTGATGACCACCTGGGGTGGATGATGGGGATGGGCAAGAGAAAGGGAATGCAAAGGGGTGTGAGCAAACCTTTGGGGGTGTCAGACATGTTCATTTTCCTGACTGTGGTGATGCCCCACAGATGTATACAGATGGCAAAACTTACCAAACTGTACACTTTAAATGTATGTGATTTATTGTGTCATTATACCTCAGTAAAGGAGTTTAAAAAATTATAGTAAAAGGTCTCTACCTAGAAACTTTAATAAACTAAAATGTATGTCCCCAGGACTAACCTTAGCTATTCTGTAGTTCTGGGGTGGGATCCCGAAATCTGCATTTGTAACAAGCCCTTCAAATAACTCGAATGCAGGTGGTGCTTTAACCACCCTTTGAGCAACACTGACCTAGTAAGTAAGGATTTCTAAACAAGCTGTGACTAGAATATTGTTTCTGCAGGAAACTAGTGACTTTTTCTATTAGAGTTGCCATACCATTCCGTGTTAAGCCTCTATGACACTCTACTCAGTTAACATAACATATATTTAACAAAGTATTACTAGTTGAAAAACAAAAGTAAATCCTAGTTTTTTCCCATTTTATCTTTATACAAAGTAAAATCAGTGACATAATCTTGTTACTAGTTCCTGGCAGATGCCTACAGTTTAAATCAAGAACTTATGTTGCTTGGTTTTTGTGACAGAGAATTGACGTGGTGGCTTTCCCGTTACACTACTTGGTTTACCTGTTCCCTTATCTTATGAGGCACACCCGGCCTTGCACATTCCTGAGCAGCTGACGATCAGAGAACACCTAGAGAAAGTGTGAAATGGTTGCGTTTCTGCTATCTCTAAAGACAAAATTTATCTTTTCATTTTTATGTAATTTTTCTTACTGAAAATGCAAACCACTGCCAGTATAAATGATGGAAGATAGACTTTCCACATGAGACTGGTATTTCTTAACCCTAGTAACATCATCTGAAGGGGGCATCAGAACTTAATCCATAAAGCTCGGTGTGGATTTTCCCACCACATATCCCTCCTGTTGTGAGAACTGGTTCAAAAAAAAAACATATGTGAAAGGATAAAGCCTACTTAAAGATGATTTTTGATATTGAAAGAGTACAGCGTGTGACATCAGTGAAAATGGTGGAGGAAGTCCCCCCTCCAAATTCTCCTCTTTGCGAAAGCATGAAAAAAAAATGGCAAAAATGGTCAAAAAATTTATTTTCAGAATACTGGATATTAAACAAAGGCTTGCAGCAATGTGGAGAGCATTTATTCAAGGAAAATGGCTGTGTTTCAGTATGCACGGTGAGCTTTGTGGCATTTTAACTCGGCCTCTTCCTATCCTCCCCTTCCTTGGGGGCAACCTTAGAAATGAACAGCCTGCAATCATGGTGAAAATCAGCAGTCTGGCAGCCATGGGAGGGGAAGAACAGGAATGGGGCATTGACGGAGCGTTATTCCCAGAGAACTATCATGATTTGACCTGTCCAGGGGTTTCTGGGAATACCCTACCTGCCAGGCTGTCTTTAGGCCTGACTCAGAACTTGCCCAATGTGAAAAGCCTTTTCCCCAAAGGCCTTTGTACAAAATGATTATAGGCAATTGTTCAACTTCTTGGTTGCCTGAGGTATTGGCTAACAGTGGGGCAAACGTGGGCTAATCAAAAAGTTTAAAAGGAAAAGCTCAGGAATAAGATGCTCATAGAGGCTTGTAAAGGCTCCAAAATATTTGAGAGACTCAAGAAGGCCGTGCACACATTTCCTGTGAGCATGTTCAGGACAGCTCTGAGAAGGCCCTGTGATCTTACCTCCCATTGATCCTGATGATCTGCACAACAGAAAGTGAAGGCTAGGATAGAACCGTCAAGTGCCAGGCTGAGCTTGAAGGTATGTCCTAATCTTCACACACAGCCCCTTGGCAAAGACGGGAAAACTTATTGGTTCCAGGTGTTTAAAGAAATCTTCGTCGTGTCATTAGTATTTAGAGCACTAAGCTAACTGAGCAGAGGCTTCAATGGCTGCATGTGAATACGGACTACACAGAATTAGTTTAGAAAAGTCACTAAACAACAAACAACAATTAACAGCAAAAACAACCAACAGGAGAGGTGGGAAAGTCCAGTTTCCAGAGTTGTTACATTATGTTATTTAAAATGTTCAATTTAATGTCCTTATTTCTTTTTTTTTTTTTTTTTTTTTTTTTTGAGACGGAGTTTCACTCTTGCTACCCAGGCTGGAGTGCAATGGCGCGATCTCGGCTCACCACAACCTCCGCCTCCTGGGTTCAGGCAATTCTCCTGCCTCAACCTCCTGAGTAGCTGGGATTACAGGCATGCGCCACCATGCCCAGCTAATGTTTTTTTGTATTTTTGGTAGAGACAGGGTTTCACCATGTTGACCAGGATAGTCTCGATCTCTTGACCTCATGATCTACCCGCCTCAGCCTCCCAAAGTGCTGGGATTACAGGCGTGAGCCACCACGCCCAGCCTTAATGTCCTTATTTCTTTACATGTCTCATTAATTTTAAAATTATGAGGCATGTAATGAAATAAGAAAATGCAGTCTATACCCAGGGAAAAAGGAAAATTAGTCAATAGAAACTGTTCCTGAGGAAGCCAAGATACTGACCTTACTAGACAAATACTTTAACTATTTTTACATGTTCAAGAAGTTAAAGGAAATCATATATAAAGACTAAAAGAAAGTAAAAGAACAAACCCCCAATAAATAGAGAATATAAATAAAGACTTGTTTTAAAGGACCAAACAGAAATTATAGATTTGAAAAGTATAATAATTGAAAGAGAAATTGCAGATCTGAGCAGGCAGAAGAAAGAATTAGAGAACTTAGATATAAGTCAATTGAAACTATCCAGCCTGAGGAAGAGAAAGAGAAATGAAGGAAAGATGAATAGAGCCTCAGGGACCGTGAGATACCTTCAATCACACTAATGACGCATAATGGCAGTTGTAGAAGGAGAGAGAGGCAAATGTGATAAAAGAATATTTAAAGAAAAAATAGCTGAACATTTCCCAAATTTGATGAAAAACATTAATCTATACCTTTAAGGATGTCAATAAACCCCAAGAAATATAAATTCAAAGAGATTAAGATCCACACCTAGACATATCATAATCAAACTGTCAACAAAGACAAAGAAAGAACCTTGAAAACAGCAAGCACATACAAGGACCCTTCAACAAGATTAACAGCTGATTGCTATCAGAGATCACAGAGTCCAGAAGGCAATGGGATGACATAGTCAAAGTGCTTACAGAAAAAGAGTGTCAACAAAGAATTCTATACCTAAAGCCAATTTATTTTCAACAAGGATGCAAAGACCATTCAAAGCGGGAAAAGAATAGTCTTTTCAACCAATGGTTCTGGGACAATGGATATCCACATGTAAAAAAATGAACTTGGGCTCCTAATTCACATCATATACAAAAATTAACTCAGAATGAATCAAAGACCTAACTGTAAGAGTTAAAACTACAAATGCTTTGCAAAGAACTCTACCAAAGAGAGTAAAAAGACAATGCACGGTGTAGGAAAAAATAGTTGCAAACAACATATCCGGTAAAAGTCCAGTATCCAGAATATATACGTAACTCTTACAATTCAACCATAAAATGACAAGCCAATTAAAAAATGTTCAAAGGAGTTGAACAGACATTTTTGCAAAGAAGATATACCAATGGCCAATATGCATGTTAAAAGATGTTCAACTTCACTAGCCATAAGGGAAATGAAAATCAAAATCACAATGAGATACCAGTACATGCCCACTAGGATGGCAATAATAAGAATAGTCGTTATTACAATTAACAATACAAGTGTTAGTAAGGCAATGGAGAAAATCGAATCCCCACATATTGTTGATGTGAATGTGAAATGGTGGTATCATTTTGAAAGATGATTTGGAAGTTCCTCAGAAAGTTAACAAACATTACCATACAGTCTGGCAATTTCATATATATACACCCAAGAAAATTGGAAATAAAGATTAGCACAAAAATCTGTACACAAATATCTACAGTAGCATTACTTACAATAACCAAAAAGTGGAAACAGTCCAAATCTTCATCAACTAATGAATGGGTAAACAAAGATGGTATATTCATACAATGGACTGTTATTCAGCCAGAGAGAGGTATGAGGTACTGAGAGATGCTGCAACATAAATGAAACTTAAAAAAATATTCGAAGTGAAGGAAGCCAGACAGAAAGGACCATATATATAATGCCTAGAGAAAAAGCCAACAGAGATGGAAAATACATTAGTGATTGCCAGGGTCTGGGGGAAGGAAAGACAGAGAAGGATTGCTAATTGGTATAGAATTTTTTTGTTGGGAGAGAGTTATGATTTTGGAAGTAGAATTAGAATTAGTTTGTTAAATACTTTAAAACGAAAAACAAAAGTAAAAAATAAAAAAACTAGAAGTAGACTGGGGATGGTTACTGAACCTTGTGAATAGTCAAAAGCTCACAGAATTGTATACTTTAAGACAGTGAGTTTTCTGGTATGTTAATTATATCTTGATGTTTAAAAAGAGTAGTACAATGTCTGAAAGGTAGTATTGGCCATTTGAATCTCTGTTAACATTGTCTTGGGTCACCTTCAGATTTATTACGAAGTTGATCTTGGCAATTAGGTGTGTGGGGGGAACACAATCAAAAGAGACACACCAACACAACCACACACAATCACACAACCCCTCCGTCTCCACCACAATCGAAAGCAAGCACAGGTGCTTCCAGGGACTGAAAATGTGGCCACAGTTGTTTTCCCAGCAAACCATTTTCTTCAACAATATCCCCCATCTGCACATCCCCCACTGAGCTCAAATAAGTATAACCCTACAGATGGAAGTCAGCAGGGGTAACCTACCTTTAACGTCATTTTGTTGTTCCATCAATAATTTATTTATTTTGGAAAACCAACAGTCTCTGATTTCTTTTGAAGCTGCCTGCAATTGCACATAAGAAAATACTGTGAGTATAAGATCACCCTGAGTATTAATTGCAGAGTTTTTATTCTCCCAGTGACCATTAGAATAATGAGATAGAAAACACCTGTCAAGTCATGGGAACACAAAAAGGGAAGAGTAGAGGAGACCCATGGGGAAAGCATGAGCTTTACCTGCAGGATGTATTTCTCAAGTCCATTTCGGTTGGCAAGCTCAAACTTTCTATGGCTCCCCCTTCCAAGTTGGCGAATTGAAAGTGACATCAACTATGACAAAGAGGGAAGAGAAATGTTCTATGTCATCGTTTTCTGATTTTAAAGTAGTCCCTGTCAATCACTCTAATCTGTTCGACCCTTAACAGCTCTCTTCTTTCATCTTCCTTTCAAATTTTTGCTTTCCTCTCTTAGTGACCCCAAGGCAGCAGAAAACTCAATCTGGTACAGTGTCTTCTGCCTTGTCTGTTTCAGAAGGTAACATAGACTATTAACTTTCCACTGTATCTTCCCGCAGGAGGGGCTGCAGCCCTCAACCTTTACGTGAAGAGATCGTTTCTCCTTCAACACCTGTGTTACACATTTCTACATAATAGTAACTGAATAAGCATCCATTAAGAAACATAAATAACAAGGCCAGACATGGTGGCACATAAGCCAGTAATCAGTCCTGGAATCCCAGCACTTTGGGAGGCTGAGGGGGGTGGATCACCTGAGGTTGGGAGTTTGAGACCAGCCTGACCAACATGGTGAAACCCTGTCTCTACTAAAAATACAAAATTAGCCAGGCGTGGTGGCGTGTGCCTGTAATCCCAGCTACTTAGGAGGCTGAGGCAGGAGAATTGCTTGGACCCGGGAGGCAGAGGTTGCAGTGAGCCAAGATCGTGCCATTGCACTTCAGCCTGAGCAACAAGAGTGAAACTCCATCTCAAAAAAAAAAAAAAAAAGAAAGAAAAGAAACAAGTAACAAAGGCTACTATGAACAAATTAACAGCTTTTTTTTTTTTTTTTTTTTTTTTTGAGACAGAGTCTCCCTCTGTCACCAGGTGCCAGGCTGGAGTACAGTGGTACAATCTCGGCTCACTGCAACCTCCACCTCCCGGGTTCAAGCAAGTCTCCTGCCTCAGCCTTAAGAGTAGCTGGGACTACAGGCACGTGCCACCAAGCCCAGCTAATTTTTGTATTTTTAGTAGAGACGGGGTTTCACCATGTTGGCCAGGATGATCTCGATCTCTTGACCTCGTGATCCACCTGCCTCGGCCTCCCAAAGTGCTGGGATTACAGGTGTGAGCCACCACGCCTGGCCAATTAACAGCTTTAGTCACAAGGGCATAAACATGTATGTGTGTGGCTCATGTACGTGTGTGTGTGTAACTCATAGCTAACTGGCTATGAAACAGTTTCTAAACAGGCGAGAAAACAAGGCTTGGTGTGGGCATGGGTCCCTTAGACCCCAGGGTCAGGATAATGTCTGCACTTAGACACAAAGATGCACAGCTGAGAAGGGCAAGTTTAAGATGAAATCCAGCCCCTGTTCCAATCACTAAGTCTTTCACCTCTCTGCCTGGAGGAAAGAGGGTACTTCTGCTAATTTTTGTCTAGAGCGGCTACCGTGCGGTCTTTTTTGTGTCTAGTACAAAGGCACTTCTATGCCAGCCCTGGTCCTGTCCAGAGACTGGTTATAAGCTCTGACTCATGTCAGACAGACCTGGGTATGGATTCTGGCTCTGCTGTGTGGTATTTGGCAAGTGAACTTCATCTCTCTGCACTGCCGCTACCTCATCTGTAAAACAAGGAAAACAATCTCTCTCTTTCTGCATAGGGTGACTGCCAGATGCAACAGGACTCTCCTTACCTTCAGGGACTTCTTGAAGCTGTAACGAGGAGATGGTCCCTGGTCCGCGGGCTCCATTCGGATCTTACAGAACACGATTCCCTTTTCAAATAGGTAGACTTGCCTCTGACTGGGCTTAAATCGAATCAAATCCTTCATTTTATAACGGTCCTTGTGAATTGCCCAGACGCTGAAAGGGCTGTGCAGCAACAGCTCACCTAGTTTTCCAATATCATCCTTTTGGAAACACACATACAGGAAAAGAAGCCATAAAACTACTTGGCAGAGAAAGAACCCTTACGTGGCCTGTTTTTTCAAATTTTATAAAGCATGCTTCTCTGAGGTTTACAATTCTAAAAGTGCTATTCAGGCTGATCTGTCACTAAATCAAAACTACAATTTTGTGAGCTTCACTGAGCGTGGTGCCGTTTAGTTACATAAGGAAAACAATTCAGCTATAAAAGGTAAAACTATACGTAAAGAATGTTAGAAATACTTGAACTGGAGATACGGGTACTGTGATATTTTCGACTCATAATTAATTTTAACTAGCAGAATTCAATTTCCTCTGCATTATGTTTGACACAAGACAGTCTCCTTCAAAGGGACAAGAAATTAACATTTTAATTATGTCCGAGAGAGACAGAATTGTGGCTGCATGATGGACCCATGAGCATCTGTGTGTTCCATCTGCATCCTAACTTCTGCTTCAGGTGTATGAGAATCTGAGAATGGGAAGCTTGTTCTGGAAAGAGAAAGTTTAGCATGACCTAATCTTCACAACGTTATAATGGGAACAGTAACTGCATTCGACTCTGAGTTTTTCAGAGTGAGTCAACGGTGCCAAGATAACACCAAATGACAGACTTTTTTTTTTTTTTAGACGGAGTCTTGCTCTGTTGCCAGGCTAGAGTGTCATAGTGAGAATTTGGCTTACTGTAACCTCCACCTCCCAGGTTCAAGGGATTCTCCTGCCTCAGCCTCCCAAGTAGCTGGGACTATAGGGACACACCACCACGCTTGGCTAATTTTTTTTAAATTTAATTTTAGTAGAGATGGGGTTTCACCATGTTGGCCAGGTCGCTCTTGAACTCCTGACCACGTGATCTGCCCGCCTCGGCCTCCCAAAGTGCTGGGATTACAGGTGTGAGCCACCGCACCTGGTTGACAAATTTTTAAAAAGTCTGTTTGACTCTAGGGCAGACACTGCGATGCCTCTCTCTTCACCAGCAAGCGTGCCTTTGTCATGTGTCTGGCTGAAAGCCCAAATGAGGTGACCCTGCCTTCTCTGAGCTCTCTTCAAAAGACAGCGGACTAAGACGAGCTGGGAGCATGGTATTTTTATCCGGTATTTTTCAAAACTTCGATTGCTTAAAGCAGAGATGATTTCATTTCCCTGAATAAAAACACCAAAAGGAACAAATTATTTGAAGGGAACTAAGACAAATCTCCATAAGTTACCACTAGCTGAGATAAATCCCTGTGATTTCTGAGTTAAGACTGGAAATATGTACTTCATTCATAATTGACTGGGCATTTTTGTAATTTATTGTTTATATGTTGGGTAAACTCTAGATATCTTTTTAAAAAGAATTGACTTTACTTCTGAAAAGTTAAAAGAAGAACTTCAAGAGCAAGAAACTCTAGTCATTGCTATGGTGTCTATGTTATTTTCTATGTTAATTTTTCATTTTCTTCTTTGGAAAATGTACGTATGTAGACTGTGGTGATTGCAACCCTCAAACTCCCAGCCACGAGGTCTTCCTCCCTAAAGGGCAAGGCTCCTGCTCTGTGTTCACAGGCTGGGCTTCACCACACTCCAAAGCAGAAGGGTGGGTCTGTCCATGAGGACCCTGCAGAATTTCTTCAGTCTATCTGCATCCACCGAGGACCCGCTCAAATGCCATCTCTCCAGATCTTCGTGATTGCTTTTTCCTTTAAACCCAATTCAGTCTGTATTCAGTATTGACATAAACAGTGCAAGACATATGTTTTAATCAAAGCAACTGGTAGAAGTAGGTACTTGATATTTGCTGCATAAACGAATGTTATCAGCAGAGGCTGACCATCCATAATTCAAAAATCTGAAATTCTCCAAAATCTGGAAATTTCTGAGTGCCAGCATGACAGTGGAGGTGGAAAATTCCATACCTGACCACATGTGATGGGTGGGAGTGGAAACACAGTCAAAATTTTGCTTCATGCACAAAATTATTTATTTATTTATTTTTGAGACAGAGTCTTGCTCTGTTTCCCAGGCTGGAGTGCAGTGGCACAATCTTGGCGCACTGCAACCTCTGTCTCCTGGGTTCAAGTGATTCTCCTGCCTCAGCCTCCTGAGTAGCTGGGACTACACGCACACGCCACCACACTTGGCTAATTTTTGTATTTTTAGCAGAGACAGGATTTCACCATGTTGGCCAGGATGGTCTTGATCTCCTGACCTTGTGATCTGCCTGCCTTGGCCTCCCAAAGTGCTGGGATTACAGGCGTGAGCCACTGCGCCCAGTCTTCGTGCACAAAATTATTTAAAACATTATATAAAATTACCTTCAGTCTACATGTACAAGGTGTTTACATGAAACATGAATGAATTTTGTGTTTAGTCTTGGGTTCCATCCCCAACATAACTCATTATGCAACTATTCCAATCCTCCCCTAAAAAAAAAAAAAAGTCCCAAACACTTTTCGTCTCAAGCATTTTGGCTAAGGGATACTCAAACTTGTAGTTTCTATCTTAAAATGTGTTCACTCTCTACCTCATTTTTTTTTTTTTTTTTGAGACGGAGTTTCGCTCTTGTTACCCAGGCTGGAGTGCAATGGCGCGATCTCGGCTCACCGCAACCTCCGCCTCCTGGGTTCAGGCAATTCTCCTGCCTCAGCCTCCTGAGTAGCTGGGATTACAGGCACGTGCCACCATGCCCAGCTGATTTTTTGTAGCTTTAGTAGAGACGGGGTTTCACCATGTTGACCAGCATGGTCTCGATCTCTTGACCTTGTGATCCACCCGCCTCGGCCTCCCAAAGTGCTGGGATTACAGGCTTGAGCCACCGCGCCCGGCCTCTCTACCTCATTTTAAACATTTGACTTTTCTTACAGAAATAGATACAGTATAGGCAGACAGAAAATAACTGAGGGAATTAGGGCGGAGCCAAAGTGAAGTGGAGAGTGTGGTGCTTGCCTGTAGTCACAACTACTTGGGAGGCTGAGGCAGGAGGATCACCTGAGTCTGGGAATTTGAGGCCAGCCTGGGCAACAAAGTGAGACCCCCATCTCTAAAAATAAAGATAATAAATCAGATGAGCTATTCCAGAAGGTGTAGAAGGTGAAAAAAAAATAAAATGAAGAGTCTGTATGTAAAATGCATATAAAAAAGCCATTTAAACTTGCTCTGACCTGCTAGTAGAATACAAAGGGAAACATGGTAAGTGATGGGATTTATGTCTGAAGACATGCGCAAACCAGTTGTTCAGGAGAAGCACAGCTATTCCTGTTCATAACACACAAGAAAAATTCCTCCAGTGATGTGTTGTCACTGAGCAGCGTCCTCAACCACACCCTATGACAGACGGAGGAACATGTTTTGGGTAAAGCTGCTCCTAAGGACACGTTTGGTCAGTGAGGGGGCTCCGCTTAGAAGGAATTCTAGAAGAGGCTAGGATTGGGGAGGAGGGGGTAAGACCAGCTGCACACACTCTAATGACTGTAGAAGATGGGGGGACCTTAGTTAAGGCATCCGCCAAGGCTGCGGGCTATTGCAGAGGAAACAGCCCCAACCAGAACTGCTGCAGAGGCGAACTCAGGCTGCAAGGTTTGTGCTTTATCACCTCTGAGCTTTCCCTCCCACCCACAGCCGTGCTGCTGCACCTTCATAGGCAAGTAACCAGGGGAGGCGAACCCAGAGCACCGCCAGCGGCTGACGCAGGGCCCCAGCATGAAAACGACGTGCTCTCTCCCTGAGCTGCAGAGAACTGGAGGAGGCGGTGACCAGCAGGAGGTGCAGCTGTCAGATGCTTTACAGGAAAGCAGGCAGTGGAATAAACGAGAAGGAAGTGGGGTTGTGAAGAAGGTGAGTCATTAGAAATTACCAGGAAGAGGAAAAGACAGGAAGTGGATAGAGTTGAAAGACAGTCAGCAGGTGGCAAGAGGAGGGCGAGCAGGCGTGTGGGTGCACTCAGCACGACAGGCAGGGCACGCAGGTGAGAACCTGGCTCCCTCCCCAGGCCGAGGCCCCAGAGCTGCTGTGGGTCCCGGGTTTGCTCAGTTCCCATCTCCAGGAGCCTGGCTTTGCCATCGTTGTGACTTTTTTTTTTAATACTTGAAGTTCTGAGTACATGTGCAGATCTTGCAGGATTGCTACATAGGTACACACATGCCATGTGGTTTGCTGCCTCCACCCCCCCGTCACCTACCTTAGGTATTTCTTCTGTTATCCCTCCCCTACCCCCCCACCCCCAAGAGACCCCAGTGTGTGATGTTCCCCTCCCTGTGTCCATGTGTTCTCACTGGTCAACACCCATTTATGAATGAGAACATGCGGTGTTTGGTTTTCTGTTCTTGTTTCAGTTTGCTGAGAATGATGGTTTCCAGATTCGTCCATGTCGTGACTTCTTGAGGCTCTGCAGATCGGCTTTCCAGTAAGTCCATTATCCCTGGAAGTCACTGGAGGGAGTGGCTGGGTCTTCCGAGTCTGACTTAAATGTACAGGCGCATAGCCTCTGGGTCACATTGCACAAATGTTCTCAGGACCACACATGTGATGGGACTGCCCATCTCCATGCCCAAATGCCAACCTCCAGCAGGCGAGCATGTGCCTTCCGTGGTGCTGGCAAAGGGCAGGCAGGTGCATTCACTGTCATCAGGGTGTGTGCTGTGTGGAGCTGCTCCACCTCCAACAGGAAGCTGCAGGGACATTCCCTGAGCTGGAGTGAGAATGACCTTTTCCACCACGTGTCCCTTTTCTTTCTAGCTAGACTATAGTTAATCTCAAGGTCGGAGATCATGCTGTGCAACCTCTTTCAGGCACTGCTCCCTAGTATGTATTTATTTATTGGCATTTAGTGGTGCCTGGGAGTAGGGGACAGGAAAGAAAATACTCATCACTGTGAGGGAAAATTGATTTATCCAAGGAGCTCATTCAGCGATGGCCCTGTACTGGGGGAACAGTGTTCCCCCAAAACGCATGTCTATGAGAACCTCAAAATATGACCTTGTTCAGAAAGAGGGTCTTTGCAGATGGAATTAGTGAGGATGAGGTCGCACTGGGTCAGGATGGGTCCACATCCAATGACTGATGTCCTTATAAAAAGAGAAAACAAAGAAATGGAGACGCACACTGAAGGAAGACAGCTGTGAGAAGCAGAGGCAGACACTGGAGTGGCGCAGCTGTCAGCCAGCCAAGGAACTCAAGAATTGCCAGCAGTCACCGGAAGCTCGGGAGACGTAAGGAAGAATTCTTTCTGAAAGCCTTCAGAGGGAGCATGGCCTGCTCACACCTTGACTTTGGATGTTTAGGCTTCAAAACTGTGAGAGAATAAATTTCTGTAGTTTCAGGTCACGTAGTTTGTGGTTCTTTGTTCCGTCAGCCCTAGGGAACGAATATACTCCCAACTGTTTCCCACCAGTGACAAAGAAGTGTGGCCATGTCACATGGTGTGTGGAAGGACCTGACGGTCGTGAACTCACAGGTGGAACACAGGGGCTACCTCAAACGAGCGGGTGGTAAGTTAGATGGCCTCCTCTGTACAAGAAGCGATAGCAAAATCAACCGGCAAATGCTGCCATGTTCATGCTTGGGCATTCTGTAGGTAAGAGCCCGATACAAGGATTTCAAATTTGACTACATCGGCCAAATGAAGAGTCTGGCTGGGAGCGTGGACCTAGGGAAGCTGGCCTCAGCAAGAGCCTGTTTTGGGTGCCGAGGTTTCCATTCTTGGTAGTAACAGCTGATGTGACTGTCAGAAACTTCTTGCATAAAGAAGCAGGAAACATCTGTATAAATGTGTCCACACAGAGCCTGTGTCCAGAAATAATGAAAAGCAGAAGCTGTGGGAGTCTGTGATTACATAGCCAGGGACAAAGAGATTTCTTCCTTTCCAGGCTGAGCAGGTCCCCACAGAATGCTGGGGCTGCTCTTTCGGCATCTGCTGGGCTCCAGGCACAGGGCCTGCTGCCTTACTCGCTGTTTAATCCTCACTTACTCCTGACAGCCACCTGTGATACAGGTATTGTGAGAGGGGAAGATGCACAAGACACTTTGGCCGAGTCACTAGGATTTTTTTTTTTTTTTTTTTTGAGATGGGGGCTTGCTCTGTCGCCCAGGCTGGAGTGCAGTAGTGCGATCTCGGCTCACTGCAACCTCTGCCTCCAGCAATTCTCCTGCCTCAGCCTCCTAGGTAGCTGGCACTACAGGTGCCCGCCATCACATCAGGCTAATTTCATATTTTTAGTAGAGACAGGGTTTCACCGCATTGGCCAGGCTGGTCTCGAACTCCTGACCTCAGGTGATCCGCCCACCTAGGCCTCCCAAAGTGCTGGGATTATAGGTATGAGCCACCGGGCCTGGCCATCTCTAGGGTTATTTACTCAGCCCTATTTCTGCAGCTAACAGTGTGGTAAGAGAGAGGGAACTGAAATAGAAATAAAAGCTGGCCCTAGCCCACAACGAACTTGTAATAAAAATACATACTTTAGTGATTTATATAATTGCGTTCCAAAAAGGAAGACCATTTCATTCAATCTTTACAGTTCAGCTTGGAACTTATTCCTGATAAGTCCAAATTTACATGCATCTCAATTATGCATTGGATTTGAAAAAAACCTTTCTTGTTTGTTTGTTTGTTTTGCAAATGGATAGAAGTAAAATATCTCCGTGTTCCACAAAACAAACTTGTTTGGAAAAAAGTTTTCAACTTTTCCGATTAAATTAGACCCAGGACAAACTGAGTATGCATAAAAGGGAGAAAATATAAACATCAGAAGGGAGGGCCAGGCACGGTGGCTCATGCCTATTCTCCTAGCACTTTGGGAGGCCAAGGTGGGTGGGTTGCGAGGACAGGAAATCCAGACCATCCTGGCTAACACGGTGAAACCCCGTCTCTACCAAAAATACAAAAAATTAGCTGGACGTGGTGGCACGTGCCTGTAGTCCCAGTTACTCAGGAGGCTGAGGCAGGAGAATTGTTGAACCCAGGAGGCGGAGGCTGCAGTGAGCCGAGATTGCACCACTGTACTCCAGCCTAGGCGACAGAGTGAGACTCCATCTCAAAAAAAAAAAAAAAAAAAAAAAAAAGAAGGGAATTTTTTCTAGTTATTTAATTATGATAATCTGATTATCACATTCAATTCTTTCTTTTAAAAAACCAGGTTAATACTGAATTTCAAGCAGAGAAACTAAGTGGTTCAACTCTGGATTCAGCCCTGCATATAGCATGTGATTATAAACACCTAGAACACAACGCTACAAAATGGGGACAAAGAGTCTCAGGATCATTCGATCTGAGTTACAGGCAGTTGTTAGTCAACTCTAGTCAGGGTCAGATCAAGATTGGGGTAGCACCCTGGATAGGGGATGAACAAGAAATAGTCCAAGGTGACAGCCATGGAATCTTGAGTGAGTTAACTCTTCTTTCCATGGATCTTCTTTTGAATCAGAACGTTGAAAATTCCAATGCCTACTCCTCCATAATTCAACGGGATTATTATTAACAGGATTATTAACAAAACTGTCAGGAGAAATTAGCTAACGTATTAGATGTCAAAATAAGTTAAGTCTTAGAAGAAAAGGTACCAAAAAGGATCTGGCAAAGGCACAATTCTGAGGACACATGGTCAGAAAAGGTCCTTTGCTTTGGGTGTAAAATATCCAAATTCTATAAGCTGATTCATCCTATCTGTATGCAAACTGGCTGGGAATGAAATTAGGGCAGATTGTTATTTCCTCATGTTTTAACCATTCTTTTCTCACAGCCTCCTCCTCCTACATTTTCTACACTAAGAGTGTCCTGCTCTGCGTATTGTTTCCAAGACATTCATTAGATTCAGGGAAATGAACGTTTAATAGGGGTGGCTAACATGATTCCAGATTTAAAAAAAAAAAAAAAAAAAAAAGAACAGATAGATGCCCCAAATTGATCTAACAAATTGTTCCCTTGACTTTCTTAGCTGAAGAAGGAAGCACTACCAAGAAAATGATCCTTACGCACACCCTAACCTTACTCTGCAGCTTAAGAACACTCTCTTGAATCATGTATCGGTCGTCAGCAGAGACACTCTGGTGTCCCAGGGGACAGTAACAGCATCATGGCTGGGATCACAGCAGACCCCATGGGGCTAAGTTTCTGAGATCCAGGGCCAAGAAATACCAGGCAGGAAGTAAAAGTATCTCCTTTTTCAGCCCCTGATAACTTGCAGGGTTTGATTTATGACAAGGAAAGAAAAGTCGTTTCCTCTACCAAGACCTCAGTACAAGGTATGTTCAAAACCAGGTAAGAAAAAAAAAAGGAAGGAAGAAGTGCAATGTAATCACAAGTGACAAAAAGGCAGAAGGGGGTCACGGTGATGTGGTGTAAGAAGAATCCAATCTGCCGTGACTGGCTTTGAAGCTGAAGAAAGACGGCGTGAGCCACGCAGTGTGGGTGGCCTTTTTAAGCTGGAAAACTCAAGGAGACAGATGCATTTGTAGTCTCCAGAGAGGAAAGGAAACACCTTGATTTTAGCCCATGAGCCTGTGTTGAACTTCTAACCCTGGAACTGCAAGATAACAATAATAATAAAAAATTTGTGTTGCTGTAGCCACCAAGTTTATGCTAATTTATTATGACAGTGAAAGAAAACAAATACATCTGAATCAAAATCTAGAATACTTCAAAGTAAAAAACAAAAGAAGTTGAGTATGGCCTCTGCCCCAGCCCCCCAGAGCCCACACAGTTACACGGGATATTTCGCCTGCAGTGCCTGGGACCAGCCTGCTGGACTGGCGCAGATGCTGGGGCTCAACTCCCCAGCGTGAGCCTCTAAATGCATCTCTTGTTTTTCTTTAGACTATTTGGATTAAAGCATGTATATTATATACTTTTGGGGTCTCTTCTGGGATCTGTGATATAAAACTGGGGCAAGAATATAGGACTTGTTTCCAAAATGCTTTTCTCAGAGAAACTCTGAAGCAAGAAGAAACATCTTTTACTATTTTAATAGCGTCACGAGTTAGAAAATGAATTACTTCTTCAGGACCTTCCCCCTGCCCCTATATGTTCTGGCCCTTGACCTTCTGGTTTGTCCAGATAGTGGGTCAGTCCCACATTCAGAACTCTGAGGAATAAACCCAAGATTCCTAAAGATGCCAAGGTGCTGCTTGGAATCTTGTAGCCCAGGTTTCCTGAGCGATTTAGGTTGCCTTCCTCAGAGTCCGGTTCCTTTACCGGAGACAGTCTCGCTGACTTTGCCAGGGCGTTTCCTCCCCGTGGAGTATCGCACCTGCCTTTTGAGTGAGATGCTCTAAGGCTTGCTATGGAACATACCGGATATTCAGTCACTGCTGCTAGGTCCACAGCCAACTCACAGGACTGGATCAAATCCTCTATCACTGCCAAAGCTTGCTGTAGTTCAGTTGAGAATGCTGAATCCTTGGTTCTCTTTGGCCCATCCTGTGGAAAACAAATGCCTTGTTGGAAATCAAAAGTGCGCCATCTACAAATCAAACCTCTGCCATCTACAAATCAAATGTCTGCCATCTGCAAAGTGACGAAGGAAAACAGTAGAGAGGTGAGGAGCCGGGGATCCAGCCAACACTGACCGAGAAGGTGGATATTGACCTGTCTCCCTGCTCCCAAAGCATGGTGGCTAAAGATACTTGCCAGTTTAGGTTCTGATAGAGAGACAAGCAAAATCGTCTACTTCTGTGCATTGTATTAGTGAAGAATGAAGTTCATAAATCATGGACATTATATTCCTGCCATATAAGAAATATATAGAACTCAGCTTTTTTTTTTTTGAGACAGAGTTTCACTTTGTCACCCAGGCTAGAGTACACTGGTGTGATCTCAGCAAACTGCAACCTCTGCCTCATGGGTTCAAGCAATTCTCCTGTCTCAGCTTCCTGAGTAGCTGGGATTACAGGTGTGTGCCACCATGCCCGGCCACTTTTTGTATTTTTAGTAGAGACAGGGTTTCGCCATGTTGGCCAGGCTGGTCTCGAAGTCCAAACCTCAGGTGATCTGTCCACCTAGGCCTCCCAAAGTGCTGGGATTATAGGTGTGAGCCACCACACCCAGCCAGAACTCAGCCTTTTTAAAACATGGAAAATCCTAGCTCCTTTCAAATTGGCTTCTCACTCTTTTATACCCCTATTCCCTGGGACTTGTTGAAAAAAATACGATCTGGCCAGGTGCAGTGGCTCACATCTACATTCCCAGCACTTTGGGAGGCTAAGGTGGGTGGATCATCTGAGGTCAGGAGTTCGAGACCAGCCTGGCAAACATAGAGAAACCCCGTCCCTACTAAAAATACAAAAATTAGCTGGGCATAGTGGCACACACCTGTAATCCCAGCTACTTGGGAGGCTGAGGCAGGAGAATTGCTTGAACCCAGGAGGCGGAGGCTACAGTGAGCTGAGATCATGCAATTGCACTCCAGCCTGGGTAACAAAAGTGAAATCCCAACTCAAAAAACAAAACAAAACAACTCACAAAAATTAGCCAGGTGTGGCTGCACGCTCCTGTAATCCCAGCTGCTCAAGAGGCCGAGGCAGGAGAATTGCTTGAACCCAGGAGGTAGAAGTTGCAGTGAGCTAAGATTGCACCACTGCACACCAGCCTGGGCAACAAAGTAAGAGTTGTCTCACAACAAAAAAAAAAAAAAAAAAAAAGAAAAGAAAAAAAAAATACAATCTGAGCATCATATTCCTCTACTTAATGTGAAAGCCTTATTCCTAACGGTAAAATTATACTTAAAACCATCCCAGAGGAGGACATCTGTAAACTCCTCCAGAGACAAAGAACTCCACAGAGGCTGCTATGTGGAGATTTACTAATGATTTCCTCGTAAGCCCATAACGTAACATTTGCATGCTGATGTCCGCCAACTCCGCCCTTCCTTCCTCTGCTTGTCCCCGGCCCTCCCCACACTGCACCACCACTGAAGATACCTAAGAGATGCGCCAGTGCTCTGTACCACCCAAACATAAAAACACAGCATTCAGTGGAAAAGCAGTAACTAATGAAAGAGACCAATGTTCCAGTTCTAACCGCAGTGACATTTAGGATGCGACTGGGATGACTGTTTCAGGTCAAAAGGCCTTAGCATGGGCTGGTGGTATTTTATCACCCTGCGACCTACATGCTGTATTTATCTGTTATCTGGTAAATGCACACAAAATGGTTTTGGTTTATTCTACATATTTTTTTTAACATCCCAATTCAATTTCTACAATGAAGAACAGCTAGCCCTTTGCTGCTCCCCATCCAGCCCTGACTCTTTTTGTCCTCTACAGCACAACATAGTCAAAGGGTTTCCGGTTTTCTTAATCTATGCAGAAGCACTGGGCATTTGCATCTTTGGATGAGAGACATGGGTGACAGGGCTGATGAATGGAAGAGATCACGCTGCCACCTCTGGACAACGTGCCAGGGATTTGTAGCTTCTCATTCATAATAAAGAAGCTTCGCTTCCTGGTAAAAGACAACAGACTCTCACCTGGATTTATTTTAACATCATCACTACGGGATTAAAAGTTCTTCTATCAGGCATCTTCCTCCTTACCTAACACTGAATGCTCAGTTTCCTTTCAGATACTCATCTGCTCCTATCCCTCCCTCTTCCGCGAGCCCCCCTTCACCAAACATAAGGTGGTTTGTTTTACACTGGGTGATGTAGGGCTCAGAAAAATCCTTAAAAACATTATTAAACTCCTCTAACTAGGGCTAGCTTCTCTTGCTCCAAGCTATAAAAATATTACCTGTGTCCTGAGCTGCTTCTGTTTTCAAGGGGTCCTTGTCATCCATTCTGAGCAGAAAGGGCATGCAAATGACTGCCCCATGAGATATGTCTCAAGCATTTCTTGTTAAAACCAGAATATTCTATAGGAAATGGAAAAGAAACCCCACTGCTAAGCCACAGATTTCTTCCTAACCTGGTTTGGTCACGGTCACCACTTCTTCTAAGGGATCTTTGGCGGACTCTTAGAGTTCTCTCTCTCTCTCTCTCTCTCTCTCTCTCTCTCTCACACACACACACACACACACACACACAGGAGAACAAGGCATAACATATACAAATTAGATATACTAAGAGGTACAAAGAAGGAAACATAAATCATACGTAATCCTACCATTCGGGAAAGCCACAGCAGACATTTTATCATATTTATTTACTTCCAGGCTTTTATGTATGCATTTTATCACTTAATTTTGTTTCCATTAAAATTCTTTTGGCTGGGCGAGATGGCTCACACCTGTAATCCCAGCACTTTGAGAGGCCGAGGCGGGCAGATCACCTGAGGTCAGGAGTTTGAGACCAGCCTGGTCAACTTGGTGAAACCCCGTCTCTACTAAAAACACAAAATTAGCTGGGCATGGTTGTGGGCACCTGTAATTCCAGCTACTCTGGAGGCTAAGGCAGGGAGAATTGCTTGAACCCAGGAGGCGAGGTTGCAGTGAGCCGAGATCACACCATTGCACTCTAGCCTGGGTGACAGAGTGAGACTTTGTCTCAAAAAGTAAAAAAAAAAAAAAAAAAATTATGTGGAAGGAAGAAAATATAACACCACTTCCCTTTGGGCTGCAAATCCCTACTTTAAAATTGTCTTTAACTCTTCTGTTTTTTTTCTTGACTGTAAGTTATAGGATACAGACTATTTTTAAAAATCTAGATAATAAAGATCATAAAGTAAAATTGCTGTAAATCCTTTGACCCATAAACACCCTTAACAGCTAGTTATGTAAAACATAATATATAATATCCAGTACCTTAGCCGAGCCTCCTAGTTCACTTGGGTCTATCTCTGTATCTTCAGGAGACTTGAAATCCAGCAGACCCTGCATTAACCCAAAAGCCTTGTTGAAAATCAAAATGCAGATTGCCAACAAAGTCCACTGTGCAAACTACCTGCAACCAGTGCTAAGCTGACTGAGAACGAGTCAATTTGTAAGAGGGAAAGAATACATGATGTACTTGGCATGAGCTCTTTCTACAGACTTAGAATCATACTGGACACACTATTTTGTAGACTGCTTTTTCTCATTCAACAATATATCAGGAGTATTTTCCCATGATATTATATTTTTCTAAAACGTGAGCTTTGATTGTGGTAGAGTGTTGTATCTTATAGATAACCACAATTGAATTATAGTCTCCCTTATCATTAAACACTTAGGTTCAACAATTTTTTTACTATAATAATGATAATAACTTTTGTGCATTTTTCCTAAAGCCAAATTCCTAGAATGGAATCGTAAATGTTAAGAATTTGGGGCATACTTCCAGGTTCTTTAGAGAAGGACTGTGTCCCTGCCAGCTATATAGGAAAGACTGTTTCAGCAGCCCCTAGCCTACAAGGGGTAATACCATTTAATCAAACATCTTTACCAACTGAATGAAAAGAGAAATCCACCTCACTGTTACCTGAATTCCTCAGATAACCAGAGGTGTAGAAGTTTTTTTTCTTTTTTAAAGTTTGCTATTAGTATTTATTCTTTTGCAAACTGGCATGTCCTTTGTGCATCTTTTTATTATAATTTCCAAGAGCTCATGATTCATTAAGCATACTGACCGTCTGTTATACATTTTGTTTACATTTTCCCCACGGCTTCATGACTCTTTGTCTTTAATGGTATAAGCTATCACCCATCACCCCCTCTCTTATATTTAGACAGGCTTCCCCACACCAAGATCCCATGATCCTTTCTGAATCACGAGGCAATCCATCCAACATTCATGCTCTTTCAAGACAGCTCCTGTGTGGGAGACACAAAAGAAGCTCCGCCCGCGGATAGAGACAGTCCTACAGAGGAATACAAGGTCCTTCCTTTCTTCGCGGGCATGTGATGGCTTGAGCTGGCTTCACAGGCACTGTCAAGCTTAGCTGCGGGGACGCTGCTCTGGTCTGCTGTGGGTAGCCCCCACAGCTCCCCACAGATCCCCCAAGGAATATTTTCTAGTAATTCTATCTCGTTTCTTCAGTGATAGGCAGCTAACAAAACCTTCTAAGTGCTTTTAACCTGTATTATCTCGTTTAATGCTAACAATCATACCAGGAAAGTGCTATTATTGTCTTAATTCTACAGCTGAGAGAGGTTAAGTAACTCATCTGAGTTCACGCAGCCTGGAAGAGTCAGGGCCTGGGGTCAGAGCAGGGCTGCTAAACTCTCGAGTCTGGGTTTCCAGTTGCTACGCCCCACAGTCCTCTGTGTCTGCTACCGAACCTGGCTGGTGTGTAAAGGTCACCTCTGTGGGAAGGCCGGAGTCCGGGCTGTGGGAGGGAAGACCGTCACTTATGCCCTGCTCACTCCTCACTGGGCCCAGACGTCGGACTTCTAGAATGGGAATGACAGTGACAATGGGCCGGGCAGAGGAGCATGAGGCCCTGAGTGAGTGCTGTGTCAAACATGCTCAGAGGTGCTGCTCGCTGGAGCAAGCAGATCATTATCCTCAGCTCTATGGTGGCGTGACAGTCTCAACACCTGAGATGACAGCTACGCAGCACGCAGAGCTTCCTGGGGCACTGTGTGTGCCCATCATCTGCTCCACAACCCTCTTACAGAGGAGCTTCTAGTTCCCTCATTTTACACAGAGGAAAACTAAGGCCCAAGAGGTCAAGGTCTCATCACAGGCAAATGGCAGAGTACGCCAAGGCTGAAACTGTTCATGGAAAGCTTAAAAGGAATAATTTTGAAAAAAAATTTTTTTTTACAATTATTTTTACAGATGAGGTCTTGCTATGCTGCCCAGGCTGGCCTTGAACTCCTGGACTCAAGGGAGGCCCCGTCTCTGCCTCCTGAGTAGCTGGGGCTGCAGGTGTGTCATCATGCTGGGCCTGAAAGGAGTAACTTTTTCTGAGCCAGATTGTTGGGCAATGAGCTTAACCTTCCTGAGTCCCAGTTTCTTTGCAGGCCAGAGCTTTGCTGGTATGTCTGGTTGTGGGGATCAAATAAGACATACACGTGGGAAATTAACCAGTGAACAGTAGGGGCTTATTTTTGTTTGTTTGTTTTTAATTCAGAGACAGCAGCCACTGGGCAAGAGCTACCTGAATGCCTCATAGAGGTTAATTCAACAGACAAATTATAGTGATGACCTAAACCTTTCCCTCAAGCTCACACATAGGAAACCAGCCATGATAGCCCCTTATATCCTGTTTGGGGTGTCTGAGAATGTGTGCCTGCAGATGTGCTAGTGTCAATGACTTACCACTAAGGAGGGGTAAGGATTAGAGACAGGGGGGGAGACAGAGAGAGAGAGACGGGGAGGGGACCACTTAGGCATTCAGGGTTCAGATATATACCAAAGTCCACTCTGTCAGGCTGCTCTCAGGGTAAGACCCTAAATCTAGAATGGAGATCAGTGCTGCAAAAGGAGAGAAGACTCCAGCTTTGTCTTCTCCCTTCCATAAATGAAAATGCCCACAAAACAGTAACTGTGGGGAAAATCACACTCTTGCTCCCAAAGAGCTCTCCTCCCCAACCCAAACTCCTTAGTGACTCATGCCCTGGGCTAGACATTGGACTTGTGAGGCCCTCAGGTCCCCTAGACTCTGTGATTCTCTGGTCTTACTCCACAAAGAGGAGCTGATTTAGGGCTGGAGGAAAGAAAAAACCTGCAGATGGACATATCTTCAGCCTTAGAAGACCAAGGCACAGCTCTACACATCTAACAGAAGAGCAGCCTGGTGCAGGCATCTGCTTTCCCAGCACAGAAAAGCACTGTCTCGTTGATTTACCTTCAACAGCATCTGGTATTTTAGAAGCCTCTGGCTTGGTCCTCTAAGATACTTAAAAAGAGAGAGCTTGTGATCCAGTTGGCGCTGGCATACCTTTAAAAGTCAAAAGAAACAACATAAAACAAACAACACACACAGAACAAAGGTGGCAGCATTTAGGTAGGAAAGACGACTGCTTTTCATGGCCAACAGGGGCAGCTGTGCTGAGCAGCTCCCTGAGGCGGTGGGGCTGTTCTGTCTCCTCGGGACAGTGTGTGAGAAAAGAGAAAGAGGAAAGAGACCGCTTGGCTAATATTTTTACAGGCATCTAGGGAAGCAGAACCATTTATTCCTTTTAGTAACCAAGTTCGCTAGAAGACAGTGGGGCATTTCAAGTCCTTCTGAAAAGGAGGCAGCCTGTCTTCAAGCTGGGGGCTGGCAGAGTCTATTTGGGCCATTTGGAGCTAGATATCACTCCCGGGAGCCCAAAGTGTGACCTTTTGGACTCAGTTTCATTTTTAAAACCCATCCTAGAAGAGGACACTGGTTTCCTCACCAGACTACGGGTGCTCCTCACAGCCCGATCCCACAGAGACCAAAGGCAGTGTCAAAATTTTTCATGCATCATTTAAAAGTATGGGAACACCATAAACGAACAGAAATCCCAATGCCAAATTCCTCTGCCTGGTCCCACTTTTGATCTCTTCAACTATTTGATGCACAGAAACATTTTCCAGGAACAATCTGTGGGAGACTTTGTCTTCTCAACATTACCCCAAAGTAGGCGCAGTCTTGACACTCTTGCCATATTGCCCTAGCTCGGGGCAGATTCTTGTGGTATTTAAAATATATCTGAAGATCTTCTCTCTAGGTGGGAAAAAATTAGAACAAATGAATCAGGTAGCATTTTTCGGTAAGTGGACAGGATAATACAGTTTATTCATTCATTCAACAAGCCAGAGTACTCTAATGCGTAAGGAGCTGGGGGTGCACGATAAGTAATCTTATGTTGGGGGGTGTGTGTGATGGAGAGATAGACAGAAGGCGATGAACAACCATAACTACGAGACACAGACAGGCACAGAATGCTGTGGGGGCATCTACAAGAGCTATTGGTAAATAAGTAAGTAGACCCACAAACAGGAGCTGGTTTTTATCTAAAATGAAAACCATTCTTTTCCTGCTCTTTGCCCAGGACGCCGACATCTCCCACAACCGATCTGCAATGAGCGATAAAACAGGAAGAAAAAAGGCTGGTGGTTGACGGCCCCCCTCTTCTCTCTCTCCCCGCCCTCAAGCTCCTTGTGGTCAGCGTGACGTCAACCCTGCAAAGAAGCCAAGAAACGACTGAAAGATGGAAACACTCAGAGGGGAGATGTGGCACACTGGGCAACCAACTCATCTCTCAGTCATTTGGGCAACACTCACAGTGCCAAGCTCTGCCTCAAACACCACCTTCAACCTGTAGCACAAGACTCTGAGACAGGAAAAGTGATGTGACTATTGCAGAGCTGGAGAGCAAGGAGGACTCGACACACTGTTCAACCTGTATTCTCGTGGTATCAAAGACACTGAGACGTGGGCACACATCTGCAATACCCCGGAGAGGAAGGATGCTCCAAGCCTCTGGCGTCAGCTTGCCAGCTTCACTCGCTCTATCAGGGAGCCTGGCCCACAGCGGCTGTGCTGGCCACAGACCCCATGCTGCTCTGGTGGAGAAGCCCAGGCAGCCACCTCCTTACAGAAGTCTGTGTCCCTATCCTCCTGCTCAGGCCAACTGTGGATTTCTTTCATGCAACACAGATTACTTCTTCCCTCACAGCTTCAACGATGCCTATTCTGCTTCCAAATACATGGCTATAGTGGATGACTTCCATTTCCGTGGCTCTTCCTCTCTCCCAGTAGGTTCTAAGTGGTCATTTCAGCATAAGAACTACAGCAACTCTGTCATTTGCTATTCCCTTCAGGAAAAATATCACACACACACACACACACACACACACACACACACACACAAAAGACAGATGGCCCCTGAGAAATGTTCAGACTGGTTAAGGAGCTAGAATAATAACTCAGAGCTTGACAACAGTATACTATTGACCTAAATTGCTCTTCTAAAGGCTAACAGTCCAAAGTTCCTTGGAGAAAGGATGTCCACTAACCAGCAACATAAAGTCAGGTAAAGTTGGGAGGCCGACTCATGTTTGCCATTCAAAGGGCAGATACAAGATCTACCGTCTTGGGAAATTTCAAGTATACAGGACAGTATTATTCATCATAGTCACCATGCTGTGCATGACATCTCCAGAACCTATTCATCTCGTAACTGCAAGTTTGTACCCTGTGACCAACGTCTCCCTATTTCCACTAGCCTCCGGCTCCTGGCAATCACCCTTCTACTTCAATGAGCTCAACTTTTTAGATTACACACACACACACAAACACACGCACACACACACACACACACACACAAACACACGGTAATAAATGTATTCATTTGTGCTTGCCATTTACACAGGAAAGTAAGGGCTGACTTTAACATGATTATTTTAATTTAGTGGGAGCACAGACCTACTCTCTCGAGAACACAATGTGCCAGAAGTTCCGGGTGTAAGTATATCAAACCATCATGTTGTATAGTTTGAACATATGTGATTTTTATTTGCCAATTATACTTTAGTAAAGCTTGGAGTGGGGGGAAGCAGGTATGTTTTTAGACCATTGGTGTTTCCATTTGTGCTTGCCATTTACACAGAAAAGCAAGGGCTGACTTTAACATGGCTATGTTGATTCTGATTTACTAGGAGCACAGACTTACTCTCTTGAGAAAGCAATGTGCCAGAAGTTCAGGGTTCTCAGCACACTTTTCCAACTCTTTCAGAAAAGTCCTGGAAAAATAAAAGTACGCAAGTAACAATGTTTTGATTTTTACATGTAGATAAGTAATATTTTTTTGACACAGAGTTTTGTCCTGTGGCCCAGGCTGGAGTGCAGTGTTGTGATCTTGGCTCACTGCAACCTCCGTCTCCCGGGTTCAAGTGATCCTCCTGCCTCAGCACCTGCCTTTTGGGTTCAAGTGATTCTCCTGCCACAGCCTCCTGAATAGCTGGGACTACAGGCATCCCACCAAGCCCAGGTAAGTTTTGTATTTTTAGTAGAGATGGGGTTTCACCATTGGCCAGGCTGGTCTCAAACTCCTGACATTGTGATCAAGGTCAACGGCCTTGTGAGGCCTGCCTCGGCTTCCCAAAGTGCTGGGATTACAAGCGTGAACTACCATACCTGGCAGGAATTAATTTTTTTTCAGTCTCCGTAGAGACTGTTAAAAATTGTCAGTGCCGACTACATTGCAAGTCGTCATGGCAGGGTATTGGGAAAAGTTTTCAGTTAGCAAACCTCATTGGCTACAATATTGCCACTGTGCAAAGCTGATAATTAATTTTTTAAAGTACAATCATATAAGGTTTTAAGAGGTGCCTAGAAAAATATTCTCCAGGCCTTCTTGCTCTTGCCTTATCTTCTACACATTGACTCAGGAAAAAAAGCCGTATTCTGAGGCATTACCCTGATTACCCTGAAATCCCTCACAGCTGTTCTGATAATTCTAAGCACTAGTCATAGACAGCCTGGATACACTCGCTGATGCTCCCTGTTATATGAAAATAACATTTACAGGAGCTGCTGCTGTTGCTATCACTAATATCATTGAGCGCTTACTGCACGCCAGGCATAAGCTAGGTGCTCCACAAATAATATCTCATTTAATCCTCCACCGAACGCTGCAAGATAGGGTTTCATAAATATAAAACCTGAGGCCCAAAGAGGCTATATAACTTCTCTAGGGGAAGCAGCAGAAATGGGTTTCCATTTCAGTTTTGTGTCTGACCAATGGACGAGGGATGGGGTTAGGAACACCTGTGGTTGAATTTACCAAGCAGCTTTTCTCCCTCTGTGAATTAGGTGCGCAATCTTTGGGTCATCGTAGTGAATAAAGAGAGTCAACAAGTTACCATTCCCACATGTGGAAAGGGTTTGAAGATGATTTCCAAAGTCCTCCCAGGTTCCTCCAAGAACCTCCCAGGTTCAAGTGATTCTCCTGTTTCAGTGTCCCAAGCAGCTGGAATTACAGGCACGCACCACCACATGTGGCTAATTTTTGTATTTTTAGTAGGGAGGGGGTTTCACCACGTTGGCCAGGTGGGTCTCGAACTCCTGGCCTCAGGCGATCTGCCCACCTCAGCCTTCCACAGTGCTGGGATTACAGGTGTGAGCCACTCCTGCAGTTCTCTAGAACTCAATATCCAAGCAGCCTTGGGTTCAAAGTTCAACTTGGTTGAGAGTCAGCATTTCCTAACAAACACCCTAGTTCCCAGCATCCCCTTATGATAATGGTATGTAGATGTGTGTTTCTATTCCCTATGCCGAGCGCAGTGCCTGGCACAGAACAGGTGCTCAAAAAATGCTGATGCATGAATAAATAAGCAAAGGAACACTCAACTGCATCCAACATGGATGTCTGACGCCGGTGCACGTTCCTTTGATGTCTCTTCCCTTTCTCCCCGGGAGCCTGTGGGGCTTCTCCCCTCCTTTCAAGCCAACCCACCCCAATCCAATCCACTGACTCCAAGCTGCTTGCTTACACCTGAAAACATCTAAGCGTTTCATCCCCCAATTCCATCAGTCTCATTTCCACCCTTCTCTTACTCTCCATTCCCTCTGACAATGTGAATAACTGTATACCTGCTGTGAAATTCGTAAAGTTCTCTAATATTCCCAAAGAGAAGGTCCTTGTTATTCTGAAGGACGTCTGGAATTAGATGCTTTAGCCAAATAAAATCCATTGGAGTGATGTATCCCTGCAGAAGTGGGAACAAGGTAAGTTTTACAGACAGAAACATGCCAGAGACCATCTGAATCAGCTACTCCCAAAACCACAACCTGAGCGAAATCACGGGAGAATACGGCACACTTGTTTCTTGAAAGTTACTGTATCAAATACTTCCTTTTGAATTCATTTTTCTCCTGTGCCCACTTTCAGAAGGAGAGAGCTTAGTGACAATGATAATAAAATGGCATTTTTGTGGGAAGAGCAAGTATATTTAAAAATGTTTATGTTATGCAGGTTTAATGTAAAAGAAGGGAAAATGTACCCATTGTTTTATGACCCGATACAATTACTATTATTATCATAATTATTATTTTTGAGAGGGAGTTTGCTTTTCTTGCCCAGGCTGGAGTGCAATGGTGTGATCTCAGCTCACTGCAACCTCCGCCTCCTGGGTTCAAGTGATTCTCCTGTTTCAGCCTCCAAAGTAGCTGGGATTATAGGCACGTACCACCACACCTGGCTAATGTTTGTACTTTTATTAGAGATGGGGTTTCACCATGTTGGCCAGGCTGGTCTCGAACTCCTGACCTCAGGCAATCTGCCCACTTCAGGCTTCCACAATGCTGGGATTACAGGTGTGCGCCACTGTGCCCAGTCACTATTATGTTTTATTATATTACCTTCATGAGTTTAAAAACGTTCATTTTATATGGTTATAATCATAATACATATATAATTTTGTATTGTTTTTCCACATAAATTTCAGACTCAGCTTGTAAATATATATGTTGTTTTTAATTTAAACTTATATCTAAGTTTAAAATTTTCAATGTTGAAATAAATTTTCAACATTATTCAGCTATTAAAAAATAATTATTTTGGATATGAAATTTTTACATATCCAAAATAATTATTTTTTAATAGCTGAATAGTGTTTATTCAGCATGTATATCATAATTTATTAAACGTTCCCTTTTTAGTGGACATTTGGGTTGCTTCTAATATTTTATGGTTAAAAATGTGATTATAAATAATTGTGTACTTACAATTTTTTCCTTAAGATTATTCCCTTAGATATGAGGGAAAATAAACAGTTTTACTCTTAAGAAAAAAGGCTACTTTAAAAAAACAAGAACTAGGCCAGGCATGGGTGGCTCATGCCTGTGATCCCAGAACTTTGGGAGGCTGAGGTGGGTAGATTACCTGAGGTTGGGAGTTCAAGACCACCCCGACCAACATGGAGAAACCCAGTCTCTGCTAAAAAAATACAAAATTAGCTGAGCGTGGTGGTGCATGCCTGTAATCCCAGCTACTTGGGAGGCTGAGGCAGGAGAATTGCTTGAATCTGGGAAGTGGAGGTTGTGGTGAGACTGCACTCCAGCCTGGGCAACAAGAGTGAAACTCTGTCTCAAAACAAAAACAAAAACAAACCAAGAAATAATCTTCCCTTATTAAAGTATCAAAAACAATTTATAATATCCTTTGCTGGCAAGAATATGGTAAACCTATTTGGGCACTGCTGGAATCAGGGTGAACTGACATAATTCTTTGGAAACTATTTGGCTACGTGGATCAAGAAATCACAGGAAGGCTGTTATTCCTACCGGTGACAATTGCCGTATTATAAAACCTGAAGCCTGGTGGGAATTCTGGAGACTTATGGCAACCATTTTGAGTCTCTTTGTACAACACGTCTGCAGTTTGAATACATGTGTGATACCCTCTCCCCAAATCTACTTACATCAATTATGCTTTTAATCTCTTTTATATAAATCTCTTCCGTCTCCAGCAAGTCACATATAATGCGCCTGAATCACAGCAGCAGGTGGGAGGGTGAAAGAGAGAGAGACAGAGGGAGGGGAGAGTGTTCTTTTAGAATTCTGTTCGAACAGTGCTCGTCAACACAGTTCCCCTTAGTGGCTCACCTACTTAGTTTCTGGTCAATTTATTCTGTTCTATTGAACACCCAAGGTAAGCATCTCACAAACACATACTGTGAACACACTGGTACCAAGAAGAAACAACAAGGTTAGAGAACTCAAACTCCTTTCATGCAGCCAGTGAACAGCCTGTCCTCTGGGTGGTCCCTATAGTGTGGGGGTCAAGAGGGGGGATGTTGGAGTCAGAAATACCAGGTTTGGATTCTTAGTCAAGGAAGGTCTGCCTGACCCCGCCCCCACCCCCTACATTGTATAAGTTGTAGAAATGGTTTCCTAGATTTTCTCTCCAGCTTTCTGCTCACATCAACATTCTTTTTTTTTTCTTTTTTTTTTTTTTTTTTTTTTAAGACGGAGTCTCACTCTGTTGTCCAGGCTGGAGTGCAATGGCGCAGTCTCGGCTCACTGCAACCTCCACCTCCTGGGTTCAAGTGATTCTCCTGCCTCAGCCTCCAGAGTAGCTGGGATTACAGGTGCCTGCCACCACGCCCGGCTGGTTATTTTCTTTTTAAGAGACAGGGTCTTGCTCTGTTGCCCAGGAATGAGTGCAGTGGCATGATCATGGCTCACTGTAGCCTTGAACTTCTGGGTTCCAGCAACCCTCTCACCTCAGTCTCTCAAGTAGCTAGGACTACAGATGTGTATCACCACACCCAGCTAATGCCTTTTTTTTTTTTTTTTTTTTTTTTTGGTAGAGATAAGTTCTTGTTATGTTGCCTAGGCTGTTCTCAAACTGCTACCTTCAAGCAATCCTCCTGCCTTGGCCTCCCAAACTGCCGACTGCTGGGATTACAGGTGTGAGCCACTGCACCAGCTCGTCACATCCAGATCTTCGACCCATATGGATGTATTTTGTTGTACATAGGGTTAGAGGGATGCTAGCTCCTTCCTCTGGCATTGGACGTTTCACTGTGATTTCCTAAAGCAAAAGATATGAGTTCTGTCCTCTTCCATCAAGGAAGTCAGATGGAAGATGTGGTGGGCAGAATTTAAGATGGTCCCCAAGACTTCTGGCCCCACTGGACATACGCCTCTTCTAATCAAACACAGGATTTTCCTGTTCAGTTGACATTAAGATAGGGAATACAGTTGGGCCCGTCCTCATCACATGAACTCAGGTCTGGGTAAAGAGGACAGAGATTGGAAGCATAAAAAGGATTCAACACAAAGGAGATTCCCCTTTGCTGACTTCTGAGATGGAGGGGGCCAGATGGCATGGAATGTGGGCAGCCTGTAGGAACTGCGAGTGGCCCCCAGCTGACAGCCAGCAAGGAAGCAGGGAAGTCAGTCCTACAGTTGCAAGGAACCAAGTCCTCCCATAAACACGTGAACTCAGAAGAGGATCCACAGCTCCACATGAAAACACAGCCAGCCAACACCTCGACCTTAGCCTTGTACAGGGAAACTGTCAGTCTCCTAAGTTTGTGGTCTGTTTTTATGGAGCAATAGAAAACCAGTAGAAAGAGTGAGGCCAGTACCCACATCTATCCCAGAGAGACCTTCTTTTTCTCCTTAGGCTATGTGGCCATATTTATTATTTTGTTTAGGGGTCCAAGTAGGTGAATGTTTACATGTGTCCTTGTGTAGGGTATATATATTTATTCCTGTTAACTATTGATGGATTATCTATTAATGGCAGTCTCTCCTAGAAAATGATTTGTTTTTCTCTCATAAAAATGGATTTGGCAAGAGACAAATGATCTAATAGAAAAAAAAATGGGGAAAGGACACAAAATAGGAGATTCACACAAACACTCAAATGGCTATCAGACTTGTGGAAAAAACACTCAGTACATACATTCGACAAAGGCGTATTTTAAAAGAGCAACAATTTTCATCTATTAGAATATTAAAAATTACCAAAGAAAGACTAGTAAAAGAGGATGTGGAAAACCCCTCAGACAATATTGGTAAAAGTGTAAATTTGTGCAAGCTCTTTGGAAGGTAATTTGGAAACATCTCATTGAAATGTAAAACACGTGCTCCTGGGTTCAGTAATTTCACTTCTAGGAATGTTCATTGTTTAGGACAATATAACTTCAACAACAACCACATATAAACTGGACCAGCCTGGCCAACATGGTGAAATCCTGTCTTTATTAAAAATACAAAAATTAGGCCGGGTACAGTGGCTCACACCTACAACCCCAGTACTTTGGGAGGCTGAGGAGGTGGATCACAAGGTCAGGAGTTTGAGACTAGCCTAGCTAATAGTGAAACGTTGTCTCTACTAAAAATACAAAAATTAGCCAGGTGTGGTGGCGGGCGCTGTAGTCCCAGCTACTTGGGAGGCTGAAGCAGGAGAATCACCTGAACCTGGGAGGCGGAGGTTGCAGTGAGCTGAGATTGTGCCACTGCACTCCAGCCTGGGCGACAGGGCAAGACTCTGTCTCAAAAAAAAAAAAAAAAAAAAAAGTAGGTAGGTGTGGTGATACATGCTTGTAATCCCAGCTACTTGGGAGGCCGAGGCAGGAGAATGACTTGAACCCAGGAGGCGGAGGTTGCAGTGAGCCAAGATCACACCATTGCACTCCAGCCTGTCAGAAGTCAGAGCCACAAGAGTGAAAAAACAAGCACGATATAGACAAGTAATCATAATATAACTGTTTGTGTAAAGATGAGTGTGTATGTATAAATATATGTAAAATTGTATATGCTTAGAAAATCTGTGCAAAGAAACTTAACACTTTTAACATTGTTAAAAGTGACTGCTTTTGGAGAGTTGTACTAAGAGCTAAAATATGGGGATGGAGAATTTCTATATCTTACTCTATACCCTTCTACAATATTTTTTTAAGTGAAACATTTACTGCATTTATAATGGAAAAAATATGGTTTATATAATATTTTTAAATGAATGTTACTACAGGTAATGATAAGTAAACCCTATTTGATAGATATAAGTAAATAATACAATTAACATATTTTATACCTCATTATTCCTTCTTATAATGATCATTTTTGTGTCTATTTATAAATGTTTATTATAAGACAAGACTAATAAGCAAGATGCACCACAGAGGATGCAATTTCCAGAAGTCTAAAACTCCCAAAAAATTGGTATAAGATCATACTTCACTAAGTCACTGAGAAGGAAGTCCCTATGCCTCTTATAAATCACCCTGAAGCGACAGTTTCTATGGCAGGAGGTGATACAGGCCTTAATGCCAATATGTTTCTATGAGCATGGCATCAAGTGGGACCACACCAGCAGGTAAGCATGCCTTGAGAACCTGCGTACAATCAGCCTCCTACGCCCTCATGAATCATTGGGCTTAAGCAACTTGGCAAGTTGGCTTCAGGATGTGTCAGCGATTAAAGAAAGTCAGAAGGCAGAAATAATCAGGAGCAGGGCAGAAGTCAAGTTCATTATCAAAATCATTTATGAGCTTAAGAGACTCTTAGGATCTTTTAGGGTCTAATTCAGGAAAATATTCACAGCTCTGAAGAAAAAGAAATCTCTTGGTCATGTCCTGGATTACAGTCTGGAAAATAGTCTAGAAATCTCATCCACCTGCTTCATTTTACCTGTTGGAGTGCGACGGATAAAACGCCAATGATAAGAATTCCACTGAAGAATGTAGGCAAATTAATATACATTCAAATTAATACATAACATAAAAATAGCCCTCACACCACTGTTAGGCCATAGTTTTTCCTTTCAAATGCCTTTATAAAATAGGAGAAAATGTATGACTATTACTCATGATTCCCTGCTTTATTATTCCAAAGCAAGCTTGTCCAACCTCTTAAAACTTTATGAGAGGCCGGGCGCGGTGGCTCATGCCTGTAATCCTAGCACTTTGGGAGGCCAAGGCGGGTGGATCACAAGGTCAGGAGCTCAACACCAGACTGGCCAACATGGTGAAACCCCGTCTCTGCTAAAAAATACAAAAATTAGCTGGGTGTGGTGACTCATCCCCATAATCCCAGCTACTTGGGAGGCTGAGGTAGGAGAATTGCTTGAACCAGGACCCGGGAGGCAGAGGTTGCAGTGAGCCGAGATTGAGCCACTGCACTCCGGCCTGGGCTACAGAGTAAGACTCCATCTCAAAAAAAAAAAAAAAAAAAAAAGAGACTTTTTTTGTGATTTTTTTTTTTTTTTTAAAGCCCATCAGCTATCATTAGTGTTAATGTATTTTTTGTGTGGCCCAAGAAATTCTTCTTTTTCCAGTGTGGCCCAGGGAAGCCAAAAGATTGGACACTCCTTTTCCAAAGCATGTAACGTTATTCACAGAAAAGACTTTCAAGGATTTACCATCTAAAATCAAGTGTATATAATGCAGATGAACAACAGAAAACACTGGGAGTATTCAAGTCATTAAAAAACCTTTCAGCACTGACAGCGATTTCTGTCCTGATGACAATCTACTCAGAGGCAGAGGACCGCACTTAGGATACCAAATGGGGCTTCTGATGCAAGGGCAGCCTGCACTAATGTTCTCTGTGTTAGTCTACATCTGGGCACTTGGTTTGACATTTCAACACAGACGCCCCCGTTAGCACAATAAAGGGGAAATGGAGGCATAATGAGTTTGAAAGGAATGTTTCTTCTCTGAAGCCACATTTCACAGTAGCACGAGAACAGAGCTCTGGGTATCTGTTTCCATTCTATATGACATCTCATGCTTGTTTCAAATGACACCATAACCGAGGAGCAAGAACGAAAATAATATGCCTTAAAAAAGTGCAATTGGCCGGGTGCAGTAGCTCACCCCTGCAATCCCAGCACTTTGGGAGGCTGAGGCGAGCGGATCATGAGGTCAGGAGATTGAGACCATCCTGGCCAACATGGTGACACCCCGTCTCTCCTAGAAATACAAAAAATTAGCCAGGCATGGTGGCAGGCTCCTGTAATCCCAGCTACGCGG